CGTCCAGGATGAGGTCGAGGATGGTGAGGGCTTTATTTGAGAGGGAACGGACGTTTTGTAGGGAAATGCGGGTGGGTTTGCTGGAGGGGGGGGAGGGAAGAGAAAGTGGTGTGGAGAGGATTTTGGGGTGTACAGGAGAGATGGTTGTGGAGAGTGGTGTGAGTGGAGAGTTGGGGAGGGTACGTATGAGGGAAGAGGGAGTTGGGTTTGCCTTAAGGAGGCGGTTTGAGCGGAGGGAGTGAGTGATGGGACACGTGAGGTTGATGCTCTGGGACAGCCAGTGCTGGGAGCCACGATGGGCCCGGCGGAGGATGCCCAGGCTGGAGCAGAGGGAAGTGGTGATGGGGTCGAGGAGAGAGAGAAGGCGCCGAGGGCGGTGGGAGAGAAGGACAGAGGGGGAGTAGCAGATAGAGGGGGGTGGGAGGAGAGACATAGAGGGGGGTTGGAGGAGACACATAGAGGGGGAAGATAGGGTCGGGACAGCAGCCAAAATACGCACGCAGAGACCAGGAGCGAGCGATCAGCGGAACGGCATCAGTCCGCAGGCTCAGCCTCCCAGATCATGGCCAAGTAGCAGTGGCTGCCAGGACATTGTTGTTGTTGCTGGGGTTTTTTTATAATTTTTTTTATTAACTGTGACGTCACGCTGACGTCACTTTGTGAAACGCGCCCGCCCCACCCCCTCACTTACCTCAGCTCCTACCTCCGCTCCCGACTGAGTGGCTCCTCACCTGGCTGTGCTTTGATCAACTGTTTTGACCACTGAGAGAGCAGGAAAGCACTATTCTGTCTTCGCCTGAGGCCTGAAATTCCACCAAGAATCATTTGTAATTCTTTTCACTGATTGGTAACGTAATTATAATAATCCTTGCATTTGATATAGCGCCTTATCATGTCTTCAAGGCATCTCAAAGTGCTTCACAGAATATACTGTAAAGTGAGTAGATTGTATATCTTATGGGCGAAATAAGGCAGCCAATTGCGCACAGCAGTGTCCCACAAACAGCCGTGGTTTGAAGTGACCAATTTCATATAATAAATAATCCTTGCATTTGATATAGCGCTTTTCACGTCGGGAGGACGTCCCAAAGCGCTTCACAGAACACACTGTAAAGTGAATTGACTGTATATTTGTGGGCGAATGCGGCAGCCAATTGCGCACAGCAATGTCCCACAAACAGTCGTAGATTGAAAATGACCAATTTATTATTGTTTTGGGTTTTGGAGGGATTATTATTAGGCTCTGTGTGGAGTAAGGAAACTTGCCCAAGGTTTCGCCCTCTGCCTGGAATTGAACTCAGGTCTCTCGCTTGCAAAGCGAGTGCTCTAACCACTGAGCTACAGGACTCCACAATATACTCATATACTGATGATGCACATTAAATATTAAATTACACAGTGCAATACACATTAAATGTAATGCACTATTATAAAACCACATGCTTTTATATATTACACACTTTATAAGCATAATCTTTATAAACTATCAATTATAATATGCATTTCATGCATTAAACTATACGTTTATAATACATCCGGTCCACAATATATGTGTTGCACATCTATCCATGTGCATATACTATCTGTCAGACATGAAGTCATGGATGAGAGCTAACTTTCTCCAGTTGAAGGTCAAGACCAACGCCCTCTTAATTGGCTGCCGTCAGTGCCGCCACACCTCAGGCACTGGCAGCATCACCATTCATGGATGCAAACTCCACCTCACTAAGCCAGTCCGGAACCTTGGCGTCTTGTTTGACCCTCAGTTGTCCTTTCCACCCCAGATCCATGCCATGACCAGCTCTGCCTTCCCCCACTTCCGTCCGCAACATCGACCAGGCTCCGCCACTGCCTCTCCCCTCAGGCCACCGAAACCCTCATCGAAGTGTTCATCACGTCTAATCTCGACTACGCCAACTCCCTAATTGTTGGCCTTCCCAACTCTTCCCTCCATAAGCTGCAGATCATCCAGAACTCTGCAGCTCGTATCCTCTGCCACACCAGGCTCCGTAACCCCATCACCCCGATCCTCACCTGGCTCCACTGGCTCCCCATCCCTCAGAGGATAAGAGTTCAAAATCCTCGCTTCCACGGCCTTCCTATCTCTGTGACCTGCTAACCCCATAGCAAGATTGCTCCCCCTTCTCAGCAGGCTCCAGCCTGCTCCATGTCCCAGGCCTGGTCCACCCCACCATTGGGCTTCAGCCTCTCTGCCCCCATCCTTTGGAACTCCATCAAGGAACGCTTCAAGACCTTCCTCTTCGACTGCTCTTTAAGCCACCCTCCTACCCTCCACCCTCCCTGATCCCAAATCTCGCCCCTCTCACCGCTGGGTCCAAATCCCTGACTCTCCAGTGCCTTGGGACGTCCTCCTGAAGTGAAGGGTGCTATACAAATGTAATTTTGTATTGTACATACAATACATATTCCATCTGCTATAACAGAGCTATTTCTGACAGCAGACTACCACTGACGCTTTCTCTTCCTGCTGCCATGGCAACCCCCCTGTGCTCTTCCATTTTTCAGTTTCCATGTTATTGACCCATGCCCGGCTATGGATCCAGTTTGTATAGGAGCAGCTGCTCGGCTGGGTCTTTATAAAGTCACTGAATGTTCAATGAATATCAGACAGTGATATGATTCCAATAAATGAATGAATTGAGCTGCACTTTACAGCCTTCACACATCATCATTGGAGAGCGCAGTGTGGTACCCAATTTCATTGCTGGATCCCACCGGGATTTGCTCAGCAGATGGGAGAGCAGGACGATGCAGCAGGCCTGATAAGATTCCTTCTTTGCAGTAAAGTCTTTTGAGTACTCTGTTCATGTCACCAAACATGCCTGTGACATTTATAATTAAAAAGGGTGTGGCTGCAGATTGTAATCCTCTTTCGAGATTTTTTTACCCTTCTCCATCTCCCTTGCTCGGCATCCGATCCTGCCAATATGAAGCTCTCTGAATGAAAAGTGCGACATAAATTCAAGTTGTTGCTGTTAAAAAAAGTATCAAAATGGAAATGGCTTCAATCCAACCCTTCGATTACTAGCTTTTCAACAATGAAAAGCTAGTAATTAACTTCCAATTGCTTTAACTACACACAGTCTGTAAAGAGAAACAGCAATGGTTTATCAGGTTTGATTACCTAAACGTCCCTGCAGTCTAAATTTACTCTGGAAATATTTCTGACAGCCCATTGAGAATTAGAGACCTACATGATCCTTAGCTCTAAAAAACACTAATTTCAATACAATCATAATACAATACAAAATTACATTTGTATAGCGCCTTTCACCTCGGGAGGATGTCCCAAGGCAATTGGACCTGAGCTGGGGGTTCGGGATCGTGGAGGGGAGGACAGTGGCTAAAGGCTTGGTCAAAGATGAGGATTTTGAGACACACCTTGAAGAAGGCAAGGGAGGGAGCGACACAAAGGGAATGTGGTATGGAGTTCCATAGGATGGGGGCAGAAAGGCGGAAGGACCGGCGCTGATGGTGGTGCAGGCCAGGCAGGGGACGTGGAGCAGAAGGAGCAGACAGGTTGATATGTAGTTAGCAGGTCGCAGAGATAGGGAGGGGCAAGGCCGTGGAGGGCCTTGAAGGCGAGGACAAGGATTTTGAACACTGTTAAGCTTTAATATGCATAACCCAGATATCAATCTGTGGTATTGTTATATTTGAAGTCTCTTTAAAGCCATTATTATTTCTCTGGAAAACAACTTGTGTCACTTGAGCCAACAGATGCAGCACAAAACAAGCCTCCCACATCACTGGTTGCTGCATCCAAATTGCTCTTTCTGAATTTCACTGCACCATGCTATCACCAGATGCAATATTTTTCCTTTATGTATGATCTCTCTAAATTCATTCTATATACCTGAATTTATGATATAATAGCTGTACCCGTTGCAACTTCGCTTGCAACCAAAGGATCCAATATGGAATGCAGATTGACACACAGACAGACATTTCATTTTTTTCTGTACTCAACGGGAGGATTCCTGTGGGAGGATTCGGCATTTTAAAAAATGTAATTTTGTTGTTGTTGCCACATCTTAGCTTTGTCTGTGTTCTTTATTTTGTTCCCACTGCTTGGCTATGTGACGCATGATGCCACAGCGACACGGTCAGCAGGTGCGGCCACCAGGTGTAACTGCAGTGTGTGCGTACATACGTAGGTGCTCTGTGACACACGATGCCACAGCGCCACTTTGACTCGATCGCTACCAGGTGTAACTGCAGTGAAAAACACAAAACTAAAAATAACTCATGAACGATAGGAGATACCCGAAAACAAATACGCCCTTGTCACTCCCAGTACAAGACCTTTCCAATGAGGTATAAATCATGTCGCTACGTGAATCAGTTATTGAGATTCTTCTTGAAGTGCAGACAGACATTGTTATTTTATTAGTATAGATAGAAGACAGATACATGCATTTATATGGCACCCTTCTTGCAAGATAGTCTCGGAACGCAGTATGATTATCTCTTTGAATTTATTCTATATACATGACCGTACCTCCCCAAATTTATCCTACACATCAACTCCCTGAATTAAGCGCTCTGAGACTCTACCCCTTGTGAAGTGCGCTATATAAATGCAAGTTGTTTTTGTTCAATTCATCCTTTATATAGTACACTAGCTTCCAGAATCTTTCTTATACAAATTACTTCATCTCCTTCAATATATCCCCTATGCGGTACACTACCTCCATACATATATCCTATACAATTCTATTACCTCCTTATATTTATCCTAAAAACAGTATTGTTATTCCCCTCCATGAGACTGGAGTGTACCAGAGTGGCTCCAGGGCCTATGGAATCATGAGCACTTTTACAGGGAGAAAATTAGCTAAAAAAAAGGCCCAAATGTTCACAACAATGATTCACTACTTTGTCACCGTGGGAAAGGAAAGGAGAGAGAAAGCTGCATGTGGCAAAAAGAATAAATTAACTTTGAAATAGCGAGCAGTAGAAAGGAGGACACTTCAAGATAGATTTTCAGAAATTCTTTATTTTCATACAACAGCAATTAGCATTTCACAAAATTTGTGCTTTTGAAAATGGTGCTTGAAAAGCAGTCAGTGATAGTTAACACTACCAGTCACATTATGCCAGCTTCAGCAGACTATACCTAGCAGCTGTGAGTGGAATTAATATACAAGAAGGTTAATTTAGAAAATAATACATTCAAATTATTACAGATAAAAATCGTAAACACAGACTAAATTAAACTTAGCAATTTTCGTCATTCATTTTCTTGAAGCATTAATTGTCAGACTGGAGTCTCCTCAAGGCTACAGCCAGAGTGGGTTCAGTCTGCTGGAGAATGTTCTGGGTCTGTGTCCGTGTCGTTGTCACAATAGGTGATATCAATTTCTGTAAACAAAAGAAACAGTAAGGTTCCTGGAACGGTTAGTTATTTTGGATGAGACATTAAGGGGACGTCTCGTCTGCATGGTATTCAGGTGGGCATTAAAGATCCCATGATACTATTCCAAAAGAGGAGGTTTCTCAGTGTTCTGGCTAGCAATGCTCTAGATTAATTAGTCATTCATCTCATGGTTGTTTCAATGTGATGCGATAAGGCATTATAACAAGACTGTTCTGTGCATAGATTGGTTGGGAAGTCCAGTGTAACACTAAAACATACAAACCAGAACGGTTACAGGTTTGAGTGTGTGTCCAAGTAGTTTGGGGTGTTACCATTTCTCTTAGTTTCATACTGTAGGATGGTTCGATAAGGACAGGATCAGGCTCATTAGGATACCTTTCAAATATACAGTCAATTCACTTTACAGTGTGTTCTGTAAAGCGCTTTGGGACGTCCTCCCGACGTGAAAAGCGCTATATCAAAATGCAAGGATTATTATTATTATTATTGTTGAATAGCCTGTCAACATGATTTGGCCTGATGCATGAAGAATCTTTTGTGAGGGTTGTGAAGAACAATGGCACTTAGAAACTGTACCCAGAAACTTTAGGAGGCAGTGAGAAAATTTCTACATTGTACTAAGTGCAGGACTTTGAAAACCAAGTTCAGAAAAGACCAGGAAACATTTCCTTACACAGCAGGTAAATACCGAATGGAAAGGATGGTTGTGACCAGAATGCTGGATTAATTGAAGAAATCTAAGTAACAGTTTCATGCTATAATAGGAAGACAGTAAAGGTTATATCCCAGAAGAATGTGCATTATAGCACCACCTGAAGTAAAACATCTCAGTATGTAGTGACTATTTTTGCATGCAACTGTGGCAGTTATTTATCCCAGCAAACTTCCACCACCAGCAATGCAGAGAATGACTGACCGGAAGGAGAACGCATCAGATTGGAGCTCCTGTGACTCACATCCAGTTACCAGGAGGATTTGATATTGACAAATCCTTTGCTAAATCAGATTACAAATACTACATATTTTGGTAACTGATTGATTTGATATTAACTAATTCCCAGTAACTCACCTGGTATTTTACTGGTCGTTTCCTCAACGTGACCGATAATATACTCATCCTGCGACTGGTTGACAAATTCTTGAACAGCCTATTGAAAGGAAATTATAAAGTAAATTGCACACCAAACCAGCCATTCTGCTAGTCAGTGATCCAACAGCAAATAAGTTACAATTTTAGCTTCAATGGAATTCTTAATTTTCCCTGGTTTTACCCATAAAGGAAGGTGGTTTCCTGGAGATTCAGGGAATCAGCCTTGCACCGCAGCCCAGAGAAAATCAGGTGCTGACCACTTGCCGCTAGGTTTAGTGATGGAAATTGTTAAATATATCATTCAAAATTTCTACACCCAGGAGCAAAGTAGGATGCCTGAATCATTGTTATTTGCCTTAAAAAATAATGTCCTTTGGTATACAAACTCAATTAGAACTAAACAAAATCTAAATGAATAAGTAGAAGACTGCTAACAGTCATGGGCCTATTCTAACTATGCTTGCGACATCTTGTACACAGCAGATTCAAGGAATAGTGTGGCTAAATCTTCTAGCTGGTGTTAGACGGGCAGGTAAAAGAGCAATCTAACTAGAGGAGGAATTGGGTGAGGATTAGGTTTATTCAGTGTAAAATTAGTAGTATTCAGTTGGTTATGGCTGTAATCTTGCCAGGTACAGAGAGGAACTCAAGCACCACCACGGCTCCCACGCCAGAGAGTAAAGCTAGACAGCAAATCCTGGTGAATAAGAAAATGAGCACGGCCGTGAGCCACAAGCTACAGTGCAGTGAGCACTGAAGGAGGTGAGACGTCAGCAGGGCCAATGTTTGCTGGAAAATGAGTCTGAAGTGATGCCGTATTTTACACAACCAGTCACAAATGACACTATGTTGATGCTCTATTGCAATACTTGCTTATTAATAGCAATTAGTTGGGAGTGGTGCTCTATTCTGGTTGCTATAGTCACTTGGCAATGCTCTATCCCATTCCTCGTCAGGAATGACACTATTCTAATTCTTGGTAGTTAAAGTAACTCCCCCCGGAGTGACTATTCAAACTCCTGGTAACTGCAGAACCAGTCAGGTTAGAGAATATTCTAGAGAAGTATATCAACTCATTGAAATAGATGTTTATAAAATCAATAGCTATGTATTTAAAATGTAAGAACCATCACTGCTGAGGAGTAGAGCAATTTTTCCCCACTAATTGCCCCTAATTGCTGTGTCAGTATTTCATGTTCGGACATAGCACAACCACATGCAGAGTGAAATTCTGTCTGGTTTGCCTCACCAAAGTCCCACAACCACAACTTTAGCAGAGCAGCCTCTCCTGTACAAGAATTAATTCTTCATTCCTACCCCATAATCAGTCCTCTCCTCTCTACAGCTTTGCACTATGGACAACATCATTAGGAACCGGGCTGAGTTGGACCAAACTCATGTTGCACAAGAGCAGTGGTGTGAGTTTCTTTCTACAATCTAGCTGAAAGTTACTAAACATATGGGAAGGTTTTTTCCTAATTCTCTGCTTTGTACAACAATATATTATATTGTAAACCAAATGATTGTCCCCTTTTTTAGCTTACCTCGGCATCGTGGGACTTGGGCAGCTCCTGCAATCCAAAGCAATAGTCTCCACTCATCTCTTGTGGCCCTTCAAGTTCTATGAGGCTTGGCAGATTCTCCCACTGCTGTGAATCAAGGCAGTCTGGAGGTGGCTCCGGCAGACCCTCATTGCCATCGAAGCACAGCAAGTTTTCTTCCTCAGGTGCTGCACTGCTCCGAGTTGGCTGTTGCCCCTGTTCAGTGCACTCCCATCCTGCAGGCTGTCCTGCTGACTCCTGGAAGTTCACAATCACTTGGTTATTTCCTTCAACACCTGCATGCGTTGACACAGTCTCATCCGAAGGTGGGCTCTTCAGATTTAAAATCAGTTCCGTTTCCCCAGTACTGGTGCGGATCGATTGCTTTTCCTCTAGCACACTGTGTGATTTTAAGGGTAGCTCATCTATTCCATTGGTTTCCCAAAGGTCCAGCAAATTCTCATTGGTTTGTGGTTTCTCAGTGTTCGCAAGACTTTGCTCCTCAGTACTTAAGAGGCCTGCCTGGGAAATATGCACTGATTCTTCAGTGTGTATAAAGCTTGGCGCCTCAGGCCACACGTTTACAAGACCAGGCTCTTCAGTGTAGCTGGTGATTTTTTGTTCTGGCAGTGGCTCTTCATATCGAACTGGTTGTTGTTCTTGAAATATAGTCTCAGACTTGCCTGAATGGAAAAGAATGCGAACAAAAGTGTAAGGTTAATCAGCCAAGAACTTGACAGATGCATGGAAGAGTTGTTTACATTGAACTCTGGATCCATATTTTGGTTATCCTGCTGCTTACTCAGCCACATTCATTCACATCATTCAATAACACAGATTCTCATTGGAGCAGAGAAGGTTACGAGGAGACCTAATAGAGGTTTTCAAAATCATGAGGGGATTTGATAGGTTAGAAAGGGAAAAACTGTTTCCACTGGTGGGTGTGTCGGTGACTCGAGGTCACAGATCCAAAATAGTTTCTAAAAGAAGCAGAGGAGAGGTGAGAAGAAATTTTTTCACACAACGAGTTGTTCAAATCTGGAACGTGTTGCCTGAAAGGGTGGTCGAGGCCGATTCGATAACAACTTTTAAAAACGTGGTGGACGGGTATTTGAGGAGGACGGGTCTGCAGGGTTATGGGGAAAGGGCTGGGGGTGGGATTGACATTACATTGCTCTTTTCAAAGATCCGGCACAAACTCAATGGGCCGAATGGCCTCTTTTTGTGCTGTACGATTCTATATCAAGCTTGTGTTCTGCCTCCTATCCCAATCAGAGATGTGTGCGGTACACTCCCCCTCCCACCGAATCAAAATCAAACACTGCCCCCTTCCTCACAACTAAAACTCTTCATCCTCGGTCAGAGCCATATACTCCCTCTGTTAAGAGCCACTTATCTCTTAATTTAACAGTGCTCTACAATCCAACAGCCAATGTCTTCTTATTACATACGAGTCGTAGTCAGATACTTAGCAAATAAACTTAACTACTACATCTTAATTGCATACCCATGCATATCCAACAACTGCCTCAGTGGATGATGAACAGTATACATTAATTTGAACTTTAAGATCAATTGTAAATGCAACCTATATAAGACTTAAAAGTAGCATTCCATCAGTAACTCAGCCATAGCAGCTAGGGACCGGACAGAAGTTTTCAAAACATTGGTTTGATAACATGATGAGGCTCACTGGCGTTTAATTTGTCATATTTCTTAAAAGATTTCTTACTAAGAATTATCCAATTTAATTATCCAATTTCTGAAATATGCTGAAGAATGAACGTTCTTTGTTTTAAAATGTGACATTTACATATGTCTTATTAAAAAATAATGTATGTTAGACCCCATAGACCTTTGCATGTTATGTCTCAGATTGGGGACAGACATCACTTGAATTGCAAAATTCATAGTAATGCACCTCTTGTAGCGCTCATTCTCTATCCATGATAAACAATCCGTTATTGTTTACGAGCACAAGCAATGCAAAACAATCCAGCTCAAATAATATCCACATTCCAACTCCACCTGTACCCTGGATGTTTTTCACAATCCTTTCGTTTCCAAACTCTTCATTCTCTTCATATATTGGTGTTCCAACTACACTTGATTCAGGAGCATTGAGGGAGGTCGTGCCTTCCTGTCTGGGAGACTCAAACTGTGTCTGGTGAGCTGTTAGGAAAGGATCAATATAAAAGTCAAAAGGATTCAACAATTATCTCACAGCATAGATTTAAGGTACAGTTCCACAGGCTCCCACTGACATCTCAACCAAGTATATATGTGTCAGCTTTGAAAGCGAGTGTCAAAGATGGCAGGAAAATGGGACCAATATTTTAAGAAACACAGGCAGGAAGTTATGTGGAACTGGAAGGAAGTGAGGTGCAACTAGATGAAAAATAGGTGGAACTGACCTTTTGAGATGCGCAAGATAGGAAGGCAGAAATACCTGAAGGTGGTTGACCCAACTTTGAAAGATCATGTAGTGCAAATACAGTATAATTTTATCAATAGTACAGGTGATGTAATCGCAGACTGAATACACTTGGAACTTTTAAATGAGGGACTTTGTTTTTCAGAATTTTTTGGAGCAATGCAGATACAGATATTGCATGCTGCCTTAATAATAATAATCCTTGCATTTGATATAGCGCTTTTCACGTCGGGAGGACGTCCCAAAGCGCTTCACAGAACACACTGTAAAGTGAATTGACTGTATATTTGTGGGTGAACGCGGCAGCCAATTGCGCACAGCAATGTCCCACAAACAGTCGTAGATTGAAAATGACCAATTTATTATTGTTAATATTCAATTATATAGCAGATGTCTCTTTGCGGTTTTAAGAGCATGGATAATTCTCAAAAGCTATAACTGCTTTGAATAGCACTTTGGAAAAGTTCAAGAATGACATCTTCTATAAAATGTTTTTAATAGAAGAATCCCCTTTTACATTCTCCAACAAATAGTACTTTGCGCCTCGGACAGTAATGCGAGGGTTATTTTGCAATATTAGCAAAGACGATTTGAAAGGTACATGTGTCTTCAGTTTGTGAAAATGAAAAGCTGACCAAATTCCAATATTTGTAAAACGGTTAATTGTGATTTCCAAATGCCAGTAAAATGAAGAAAAAAAACACATCAATCCCACTGTTGTTAATCTATGAATCTGGCAATGGACTAGTTGGACCAAATGGCTTGTTTCCATGCTGTAATGTTCTATGTGATGTTTCAACTGCACCCATCACACCCATCCTCCATCCTATCACAAAGGGTTGCCAAGTCTCTCCTTGGTCTTTCCTCCTACTGTGCTGGAGATGAAGGGGTAAATCTACGCCTGATTTGGGTTCGTTAATGCATCCATGAGCTGTGATACCCATCACAGCAGCATTCAGGTATTACCAACTAGGCCAGACTGAACCATCTTCTGTGCAGGGCATAAACTTACAATCGATCACATTTTAAACTCCAAATGAGAGGTGACTCAACACGATGACAGAAAGTGAAAATGCAGCTGAATGATGCTCAGGTGGCAGCATGTTTTGTGAGCTCTATATAACATCAGTATATTGCAAAACAAAACATTACTGAGTAACTCATGCATTTAAGCCACTTTCCTAGGATTATGTCACTTAAATGAAGCAAAGATCCTTTCAGCAACTGGGTTTCCTCTGCTGTGCATGTCACAGCGTAAACCATTCCCTAGGTCAGGCATCTGTCGAATGCAATATAGAACTTCCTACACTGCCCTAAGGGCATATCTCAACTCTGACTCTTCCTGCACAAAATGATATAGTATATCTGTTCTCACAAGTGTTTTATTTTTTACAAGTGCTCTCATGAGTGAGATTGTTTTTGTGTCACTCACCTCCAAATTTAAACACAGCAATAATTTCAACCCAAAATGGACCACAGGCCCATCTCGCTACCCATCAAATTTTCCACAAGATTTTGATGCTTCCATCTTGTAAATCTAATAACCCTGAATCATTTCACTTGATGGGAACTAGTCTATTGTTCCTGTTTGAAATTCTTTGTAGTTTCAGCGGAAATGGGAATTTTCTCCTCAAAATGATTCTAGATTGCCATATTTTGTGATTTGAATGAAATCAACATCCCTTTGGTGTGGCAACATTTGAAGTGAAGCTGAGATGAAAGGGTATTTTTCCAATCCACTGCATCTCTCAGCTCCTCAGTCAGAAAGAGAAGACATCCATTCCCTGTCTAGACAGAATCTGAATCAAAATCTCAGAGATAACATGTAGCATCTAGTACCTTCGTGAATATACTGAATGTATTCTCTCAACAGAGACTTGCAATGGCTTAAGATGCATCCAGTTTATATATTGTGTCAGATGGGAAGGGGGAGGGGTCTAACAGTGCATGGAAGCTATAATAGCCAGTTTATACTGCATTTTGTCACAGCCACTCATCACAACCATCACGATGAATGACTGCAATACATCTAGAACTAATCTGATGTGAGCAGCAGTATCCAAGTATCCACTTATGCCCAGTTTTGAGTGTGCTTTGAGTGGGACATCGATTCCAAACATTCCAGTAACAAAATTGAGGCAGTGCAAATCTATTGGGCTACCAGTCAAACATAGGACCTTGAAAGATCCAGGACTGGTTCAATGTGTGGCCCTAAAAACTTTAAGGAGTTGTTTCTCAATGCTGCTGAGGATCCAGTAGAGAAACCATCTGCTTAATAACAAATACTGTTTAGTGGGCTCAGTATATGCATTGAGTTGGGCAACCACTCTCTTTAGCCCCATTTAAAACGACTGAGAGCAAGCAGAATAAATTCTGCTCCTTACTGCCAATCACTTCACTGCTGGAAGGGATGTCCAAGTATAAACCAGACATTACAGCCAACACACTCTTGGAAGTGCAAGGTTCTACTTCAAAAACATGATACTGTAGGTTTGATCAGAAAGTATACATACATGAGGGGAAAGACTGGAAGGGGGTATTGTTAGCAACCATTCGAGGATAAGGGGATCTTGGAGGGGGCCATGATCGCTCGGGCAGAGTATGCTGATTCTTAAGGAAAAGGCTGTTCACTCGACCTGTGGGTAGAATGTGTCACACAAGTCAGTAACACACACAGCAGCAAAGAGCTGGGAGGCTTTGAGCAGGTAGGGAAGGGAGATAATGAGGTAGGTAATGCAGGAAATACAGTGCAAACTGCTTATTGTCAGAGAATGGTATACCGCAACCATCAAGTTGGAGTTTTCTGTTACAGTATTATTCCCATCTGTACATATACCCCATTTATCACTGAATTTTCACCTAGTTTCCATCACACCAATGCTCTCTCACTGCCCCTTTCAATCACCTCCAAGCACCCACTTTCTCCCCCACTCCTTTTCTGAAATCCTACCTTTTTATTACTTCTGCTTCGTAGAATCATTCCACAATGCACCCTTTCCCCCACATGCCTTGTCCCTCTCCTAAAAGATGTCTCTTTTGATGTCAAGATTTTCTGTCTTTTCATTGTTGAGATTCTCTTTCTATTATTGGTGGATTTTAGTTCTGAGGCCCTTGTACAGTGAATATTATAACATGACTCCATTATATTAGAATCATTGTCACCTCCTGAGAGTTGAGGCGTGGGGGAGGTTGAGGAGGAAAGGGGAATCTACTCATTGCATGGAACCTTCATTAAGAATGTCTGAAACAGGTGATCTAGGAATCATTAATAAAAAATAATCTTTGCATTTTAAACAGCACCCGGAATGTCAAAACACCTCAAGGTGCTTTACAGCTGATCGCTGTCAAGGTTAATGGCTGTTTGCCTGTAGGCAAACATTTCAGCTAATTTATGCATAGCAGGTCCACAAAATTCGAGAAGTGAATGTCAATATATCTAGGAGTGTTGGCTAGACATTGGGAGAAACTCCCTTCTCTTTTCGAATAGTATTATGGGATATTTAATGTCCACCTGAACAAGCAGGCAGGATCTTGGTTTAACGTCTCATCTGAAATGATGGCAGTACCAATAATGAAGGGCTCCCCAGTAGCTTCCTGAAAGAAGTTTGTTGGCAAAATATCCAGAAATTCTGTGACAAATAACCAAAGACACTGATTCACACTGAATTTCATCTCTCTCCAACTCCTCCCCCTAAAACTGTGTGAACCAATTGTAAGATTGTATATCTATAGCAGACCAGAATCTTCAACAAGACATCACCAGAACAAAGTCTACGATTTATGAACTCCCATCCTCCCTCCACCCAGTCAACTGAAGTAAAAGGCGACATAGTGTTAAACAAGTTTCAAAACATTTGCTACAATTGCACTTCATAATAAATAATAATCCTTACATTTGATAGTCTGTTTAATGTCAGGAGGACATCTCAAAGCACTTCACAGGACTTGCTGTAAAGTATAATGGCAGTATTTTGTAGGCAATAGAAGTGACCAGGAGTGGATTTACTTGTGTTTGAATGCTACCCAGGAAAGTGATGCAAACAATTGAAACAGACTTATCAGGGCAGTGAATGTGATTTCGACAGACTCGAACTGCAATTAGTATCATGAATGTAGCCTTGATTGTTACAGATAGCAAGTGTCTACTTAATTGGAATAGATTGCACCTATTGCACTGATTGCAGAATAAGATGAGTCAATGTAAACCAGAATAAGACAAAAATAAATGAGTAGGTGCAGGCATCTACAGGGAGAAGTATGGATAATGGCTTGATATAAAGGAACAAACCAAGAACGTACTTTATAGATTTTAACAGTATCACTAAGTGATTGTATTAAACTTGAATACCAGACCACTTTCACTGACAATCTAGTTCTCCCATTTCACTGTGCCCCTTATATCTATTCAATGAGCAAATTAACCCAGACTGCACTTAGCACAGTGACTAGGATTGGTGCTGGGCTGGGCATTATTGTGACAGCATCTGCTAAATGTGCTGATTTGGACCCCTTTCTGTACTTGGTAGTGTAGCACTACAGGAGAAAAATATTTTTACTGTATAGCACCTGGTTTGGAAAATTAAAATTAGCCTTTATCATATTTGCCTTCATTAAAGGAATTTTTTTCAAAATGGGTTGAATGGAGTAAAGAGTTGTTTAATGAAATAATGCTAATCAAGAAATTTCTCTATTAAGTGGTGACATGTGAATTGTGAGTCACCCTTGGAGACTATCAGTGTGAATGCAAAGCTGTTGGGAAATGACATTTCAAAGGACTTCCATCATGTAAAATAATTACAGTCTAATTGAACCATCATCATCTGCTACATTCGATAAGACACTCCCCCATTTCCAGTCACAACACCTGACATAATCAGATGCAACGTCATTCCCAAGTTTTTTGACACGATCAGACCAATGTCATGCCCACCCAACCTCCTAAATCATGTGACCTCCTAGCGTCGCAATTGGTACCACATCACCCCACTTTCAATCACACCATCCAACAACATTGGATACGACTATTGAATTTCAATTCTACTATTCCTAACTAAACTCGGATGTGATTAGAAAATGGTTACTCTCCATGGATTGTGATAACATAAATCTCCCCCTTTAAATTCATGTAATGCTTGATCGAGAATGGCTCCATACTATTCAGAACTGCAGCACTGCAACATGACTGAGTACAGCCATTACTACCCATTACTAACATTATTCGCCTGATCAGGTTACATATGGCGAAATCTCATTTATAAATCAGAAACAGCTCATCTTACCCCAAGCAACACCGTAGACCAGAGTTAAGATGCCTTGTTTACATCCTGTGCTTAAGAGTTTTGGCTTGCACGGTTGATAGCCCAAGTGATGAACTTATTAAAATGCTAAGTTGCCACATGGATAACTTAAACTGAACTATGAAACAGCATTAATGACCAGCTCTACTGTTTGGTGGAGGTTGCATTCGTGGAGATGAAAAGTTTCTGCAATGGGGGAGGGAGAAATACTGGTGGGTGAATGGAAACCAAAAGATCTCCTCATACCTAATTTTTGGCCTGGAAAATGTACCGTCTCAAAACTTGTTGTCATGGCTCGTTCTCGCTGCTTAAAGAATTCCCTAGGATTCCCATCACGCTGTGCAATAAGAGCCGCAGCTTCCTATTGAAAGAACAGAAGTCATAATTAACAAAAGGGCTGGTATTTCATGATATTTCAAAGGTATTTCATGATATTTGTAAACACGTCTTTCAAGTTAGAATTGAGGATTGCTTTGCTAAACCATTGACTCTTTTCGTGTTTTTGAAGATTTGCAACTCTTCTATTCCAACAACAACTTGCATTCATATAGTGCCTTTCACACGGGTTAGCATCCCAGAGTGCTTAAATTCCAACCATACAAATACATCTGATTCTCAGTCTCTCAACTTTAGGGTTGAGGTTTCTCCATTTATGTGCACTCTTAGTTGGCTGTGGCTATTGTATTGTGTGTATAATCTTCTCCATATCGTTGGTCACAGTTGTTTTTCCAAGGCTCTAGAATACAACTGAACAAGGTGATTGGCTTCGGTCAGGGCACTTGCACCAAGGTGGCCAAGGAAGGGACAATCATTTGCTGTAAGTATGAGACACATTCAATAAACTAAAGGACTGGTATTTACTATGAATTGTATGGCATGAGAACAGCTTTCAATTATACATCCATGTAGAACTGACATCATAGTTTGGATCATCACAGATAGTCGTCTTTTACAGTTCATTCGATTTGTCTAGAAGGACCAACTTTGTAATACTCCTTGCATTTAATATAGTGCCTTATCACATCGTTGAGACGTCTCAAAACTCTTCACAGAATATACCGTAAAGTGAATTGACCCTTATTCTGTTTTTTTGTGAATGCTCACCGCTGCTTTTTCAGCAGAATCACTGATCTTGGATTGCCTTTTCTCTTCATCGTCCTCTTCTGCTCCATCCTTCTGCGAATCCTAGTTCAAAATGGACAAGGTTAGGACCACAAGTCCGCCCCAGCATTACAGCATCCAAAACCTTCAAATGACAGCTTTGCTGCCACCATGACTGTACAGCCTAAGAAATGCAACATAGTGATTTAATGTTACTCGGGAACCTTCCTCACCTCCACCGATGTCACTTTGGGTGTGTCGAAATGCATATGAAGGGAAATGGTTGCCTCATAGACGAAAGCCAGCAAAAGGGGAAAGGCAGGATCTCCAGAATCCAATGATCCGCGAATGTAAATATAACTGTGTTAGATATATAATATATAAATATATTATATAAAAACTGTGTGGTAGAAGACTGAAGCTCCTACATCAAAATGTGTTACATAGGAGTATACCAAATCTTGATATAGCAGAGCATGGTTGTGTGTGTGTGTGCGCGTGTGTGTGTGTGTGTGTTTCGGGGAAGGGCTGATAGCAGAGATCCTGACAAATCTGTGTGAGTTATACAAGTGTGCATTGTAGCAGCGAACCAAGCAGATAAGATTTTATATTTGTTTATTGGAAAAGATATTAGATCAAAATATGCTGCACATTCTTGTAGAGACCATGATATCATTGCCCCTCTACTCACTGACATAATAAACCTCTCCCTGTCCACTGGTACTGCTCCCATCCCATTAAAAACGGCTGACATCACTCCTATCTTTTAAAAAAACTCTCCTTGGAAACATCTCTATTCTCCAATTACCACCCCATCTCCAACCTCCCTTTCCTCTCCAAGGTCTTGGAATGAATTGTTGCTTCCAAGCTTCGCTCCTTCCTCTCCTACCATTCCCTCTACGCACCCCTCCAATCGGGTTTCGGTGCCGCACACAGCACAGGAACAGCCCTGGTCAAAGTGACAAATGACATTCTGTCCATCTGCGATCAGGGCTCCCTCTGCCTCCTCGTCCTCCTTGATCTCTCTGCTGCCTTTGACACCGTTGACCACTCTATCCTTATCCACCGCCTCTCCTCTCACCTCAATCTTCATGGCCCTGTCCTCGACAGGTTCAGATCATATCTCTCACACCGCCTCCACTTCATCTCCTCAAACGTTTTATCCTCTAGCCCCTGCACTGTCTTGTGCGGAGTTCCTCAGGGCTCTGTCCTTGGTCCCCTCCTCTTTAATATCTATATGCTCCCTCTTGGTGACATCATCCGCAGATATGGGGTCAACTTCCACATATATGTGGATGAACCCCAACTCTACCTCTCTGCCTCCAGCCTTGACTCCAGGACTTGATGTGTGACAGACATTCTAATTTTTCTTCAGTTGAACGTCAATAAGACCGAGGCTCTCCTGATTGACGCTGACAGCATCACCATCCATGGTTGCACATTCCACCTCACTGAACCAGTCCGGAACCTTAGGGTCTTGTTTGACCCTCAACTATCCTTTCTATCCCACATCAGTGCCACGACCCGCTCTGCCTTCCCACCTCCGCAACATCGTCTGGTTTCTCCGCTGTCTCACTCCGCAGGCCGCAGAAACCCTCATACACACTTTCATTACATCGAGGCTTGACTATGCAAACTTCTTGCTTGTCGAACTCCCCAACTCCTCCCTCCATAGGCTGCAGATCATCCAGAACTATGCTGCCCGTGTCCTCTCCTGCACCAGGCTCTGGTGATCCTATCACTCCCATTCACACCTGACTCCACTGGCTTCCCATCACACAGAGGATACAGTACAAGATCCTGGTCCTCACCTTCAAAGCCTTCCATGGTCTTGCTCCTCCCTATCTCTGCGACCTCCTAACCCCCTACCATCCTGCTCCCTCCCTCCACTCAGCGGCCTCTGGTCTGCTTTACGTCCCTGCCTCGCTCATCCCACTATTGGCGGGCGGGCCTTCTACCCCCACCCTCTGAAACTCCATCCCCAGTCCCGCAGCCTCGCCCCCTCCCTTGCCTCCTTCAAGACCGTTCTCAAGAACCTCCTCTTTGACCCGTTTTCGATCTCCCTGCTTCCCCGCCTGCCCGTCACCTTCCCTGATCCCTACCCCCAGCTCGGGTCCGAAACGCTGTCTGTAAAGCGCCTTGGGACGTCCTCCCGACGTGAAAGGCACTATACAAATGTAATTTTGTTGTTGTTATCATAGTATATTATGTCAAATCCATTTTGTATCCGTTATCAGTGATTATACCAACTTCAATTGGCATTTAAAATTAAATCACCATGTAGCACTTCTTTATGCTGTCAAGCGATGGTTGCAGCAAAGCTGCCATTTGAAGAGTTTCGTTGCTGATGCACACATTATATCCAACGGGTGGTGCTGAACAAACTGTAGTGGCAGCTTTTGGCAACTGAACAGGATTCATTAAATGGGAATGGGAGCATAGCATGGCTTCTAAATCAAACACAGCTAGTAAATGCCTTGAGTGTGCACCATTCAAGTCTGCCTACCCCTAAGGCTGAGACTCAAACATTAATGTTGCACATCACTCACGTCAGCCAGCTCCAAAATGATTTTGATTATTTCTACTTAGAATATTGATTGGTGTATTTTGTGATAGTGGAGTACTTCATGGGTGGTGGTGGGGAGGGGGTAGGGGCAGAGAAGGTTAAGCAGTTTTAGTTTATCAAAGCAAACAAGCTAAATAGGGTAAATTTTGACCTAGGTTGGGTTGCAGCAATAGAGATATTAGTAGATCAAAATGCATTTTATAAAAGGTATGAATTGTCTTATATCAGGGATTCTTATACAGGCAGCGTAGAAAAGATCCTGGTTTATTAAGCATGTTTATAAGGGATTTATTGCAAAAGAGATTTGGATGTGGGACTATTTTAGAGATTTGGTGAGTTGGAAGGATTTGAATTGCCCATCTGTCTCCATTAAAAAAAATTGACTCAGATTCCCCGATTCTAACCTCTATTCTCCTGAAGGGAGACACGAGCACATGGCACTGTTTTGTTGTACACCCATCACATGATAAGGAGCATTCCTAACAAGAAATTGGAAGCCTCACTAACCCAGATGCCGGTTTGCCTGGTTGTATCTTGCATATCGTCAGTTTCCAGGTTCTGCAGTTTCTTCCTAAAATTAAAGAAAAAATGAAGAAGTGTATCAAAATGAAGAGTGATGCAACAGCAGAAGAGTCAATTCAAGATCAGGCTAAATTGTGATGATTTTCACAAAGAGATAGTCCACAGGTTAGGCTAGTATGTGAATAATGTTCACAACTCTGCAGCCCAGAGAGCTTGTGCTCAAGCACACACCAGTGGATTACCTCTTCAATTTGAAGGTTTGAAATATATCAGGTGAGCTAATGGCCCTTGTGGTTAGATATTTCACGTAGGATGATGCTGCACAGGTCAAAGAGTCTCAAGTCACAATCCTAGTCTGTACTACCCGTTTTTAGCCACAGTAGGAAATATACCACAGTGCTAAGGGAGGAGAAAATCCTTTAGGAATCGTCCTTTCAGACGCCCCAAATACCTAATGGGTTTCCAGCCCATTGTCTTAAAATATAAGATTGTAACTTATAACTGCAGTGCAAAATTTTGGAAAATTCTTAAATTGAGTCTCAATTTGAAAGATGTTTTTTCCAAACTAAGACTAAGTATTTTTTGAAAATTCATTGCACACTAACATTTTAAGGGTAAGTCCAGAGAAATGGTTGATCATACAGATCACTATCCAGTGCTCCTGCTGGAAGGCATTGTTTGTCTGTGGATTTGCTTTGGTCAAATAATCTGCTGACATTTATCCTCTGGCTTCAAAGTTCAAATAATAAATAAATTTAGTCTTCCCACATAGCATGGCACTTTGTCATGATGAAATGTTTTCAAGTGCTTCACACAATGAGCTTTGAAGTGTAATAACTGTTGAATTGTACTCAGATGTTGCAGTTAATCTGTCCCATACAAACATTGCACAAACTGTAATGCAGTGATTGGCGAATTAGAACCACTGGGCACCAGAAGTCAATGGGCACTGGGCACCACTCAATAGGCAGGTAGTCAGAACTGAGGGTCACCGTACACTGTTGTTCCAATATGTCTAGAGTGTCCCTCTACAATGGCATCTGTGCCCTGCCCCAACTCCAGTGGAGCAGGTTTCACTACTTGTGTGCTTCAGCGGGAACACTCCAGATGGGTGCATGTTAAACTCACCCATTCATTCAGTTGACTGTCGCCAAAGTAAATGGAGGGGGCAGGATAGGGGAAGGGGAATGGAGTATTCATTTCAGTAACTGCTGTGAGGTGGTCCTGGTTTCCATGGTTGCGTGAGGGGCTTTCGAAGCACAACCGCGGAACTGAGGACACTGCCAGCGAATCGGGATTCAGAATTTGAAGTCTCCTGCAGTACGTCAAGTGAGCTTGTTCCTGTCACCCTCTGCTTCATCTACCAGTCCCCACTTACAGCAGCTTCTCCAAGAATCAGCCATACCTTTCTTCCTCTATCTGTTTCTCTCGCTCTCTGTACCTTCTCTCCCTTTCTTCTTGTTCTTTCTTCTCCTGTTCCATTCGCTCCTTTTCAAATTTCTCTCTTTCTTCAATTGCTTTCTTTCGCTCTTCCTCTTTTCTTAGCTCCTCCTCTCTCTAAAGCAGAGAGAAAGTGGGGTAGGGGTGGGAAAGAGAGGGAAAAAGGTTGGCACATATTACTGGAACTGGTTCATTTCACCAGTGTTAGAGGAGGAGGAATATAATCCTAGTACACATTTCAATGGAGGAGGTGGGAAATGCATGAATGGTACTCTCAGGCCAGGGGGAAAGGAAGTTGAGGGAAAATGGGATGAGCATTGCAGGTACGTGTACTGGATTCCGTTTATTCTTGTTCTCTCACCATTCGATTTTCAATGGGGAAGCCCTGAGGTCAGCCTCCAATTTCCCCTGGGAAAGGAAAGGGGAGCAGAGAAAGAGAGGCAGATAGAGAAACAGATATAGTAGTACCAGTGTTGCACTTGCTCTTCTCTTCCATCCAGTGCATTCTGAAGCACCATTACATGAAAGGAGGGGAAAGAAATGACAACCATCCCACGGTCTCTATTTAACAGAACACGGGACAGACACACTGTGATCCCCTTAAAACAGCACGAATAATAAAAATAACTTACATTTTCAACAACAATTTGCATTTACATAGTGCCCTCCACGCAGGGTAGCATTTAGGAGCGCTTAACATTGGCGAAGCTTGACCCCGAACTGGGGGTGTGTGGGAGAGAGGTGGCCTTAAGCTTGGTCAGAAAGGAAGGTTTTCAGATGGGACTTGGAAAAGGGGAGAGGGGGCAAGGCGGAGGGATTGAGAGAGAGTTTTCCAGAGTTTTGGGGCGTAGTGGCTGAATGCGCAATCTCCAAAGGTGGAGTGGAGGGCTCAAGGGAGGCCAGTGCCAGCCGAGCGGAGGTGACGGGTGGTGGACTGGGGAGTGAGGAGGTTGGAAAGGTAGGGAAGTGCCAAAAATGAAGGGATTTGAACATGAGTGTGAAGATCTTGAAGTCAAGGATCTCGTATTCAAATCCCTTTGGTGACGGGGAGCCAGTGGAGCCTGGCCAGAACTGGTGAGATGTGGGTACGGATTTTGTTCCGGGTCAGGATGCGGGCAGCAGAGTTCTGAGTGAGGTGGATTTTTTGAATAGTGGAGCTGGGAAGACCGGCGAGGACTGGGTTTGAGTAATCTAGACGGGAGGTGACACGATGGTTTCGGCTGCATTTGGGGTAAGGTACGGTGGGAGGCGTGCAATGTGGTGGAGGTGGATGGAAGGACAGTTGGGGGTCGAACCGGACTGGTTGCGCACTGGTTCGGTGAGTCTGAGGGAGAGTCTAGGGAGGTTGAGGAGTTCAGATCCACAGGAGTGAAGACATTGATGGGAGCCAAGGAGTATGGCTTCCGTCTTGTCCACATTCAGCTGCAGGAAGTTTGCACTCATCCAGGCCCTGATGTCTGCCAGACAAGCTGATAGAACATCAGTGGACCTGGAGTCAATACTGGAGGAGGCAAAGTAGATTTGTGTGTCATCTGCATACATGTGGAAATTTACCCTGTGTCTGAAGATGACATTGCCAAGAGGGAGCATATAGATGAGGGAAAGGGAGCCAAGATGGAGGCCTGGGGTACCGCAGGTGACCAGGTGGGGGTGAGAGGAGAAACCATTTGCTGAGATGAAGTGGAGGCGGTTGGTTAAGTAGGACTCGAACCATGCGAGTGCGGTCCCACTAAGGTGAATGTGGGAGGAGGCGGTTGAGGAGGATGGCGTGGTCAAGTGTGTCGAACGCAGCAGAGAGATCCAGGAGAATGAGGAGGCAAAGGGAGCCCTGGTCACAGATAGAGAGGACATAGTTTGTGACTTTGACAAGCGCCGTCTCTGTGCTGTGGGCAGGGCGAAAACCAGACTCCAGGGGCTCAAAGAAAGTGTGGAGGGAGAGGTGTGACCAAAGTTGACCTGCAACAATGCGTTCCAGGACTTTGGCAAGGAACGGCAGGTTGGAAATGGGATGGTAGTTTGAGAGATTAGAGGGATCAGGGGTGTGTTTCTTGAGGATGGGTGACATAATAGCGGTTTTCAGTGGAATAAAGCCTGAGGTGAGAGCCTGGTTGACCGTGTTGGTCAGCAGCGGGCAGAGGGAGAATTGAGTGACAAGCAGCTGGGTGGGGAGAGGATTGAGGCAGCAGGTGGTCAACTTCATGCCTTCATGATTGTGGTTGAGAGGGAAGAGGGAGAAAAGAGGATCAAAGGAGTGTAAGGAGGGGGGAGTGGCAGGAGGCGTGGCGGAGGGAGAAGGCAGTGTGGATGGACTGGGTGACATGGAAGTGAACATGGTGGGGGGTGAGAACGATGCAGCCAAGCGGATGTTTTCAATCTTTGAAGCAAAGAAGTCTAGGACCTCTTCGCACTTGGCGTTTGATGTGAGGATAGAGGGAGCTTGAGGAGATGCATGAAGGAGGTGATGGATGGTGGAAAACAGTGTCTAGGCAGGTTTGGCCTGTGAAAGGGAGAGGCGGAGGTGCTCGAGCCACAGGTGGTGAATCGTGAGGTTGGATTTCTGCCATCTGCGCACGAACGTCCGGGTTTGAGTTTTAAATGAGCGGAGATGACTGTTGGACCAGGGGGAGTGGATGGATTCGGAAACCGTCCTGGATTTCAGAGGAGCCAGGGAATTAAAGGTTGTGGAGAGATGGTCATTCAGCAGATCGCTGCGGGTGGAGGGCTAGAGAGAGAGGTCTGAGGAAGAGGGTATTTGTGAGGGACTCAGGGGAAAGCTTTTTTCAGGGGCGGAAAAAGATGGTGGAGAGCTTGGAAGAAGGGAGGGGGATGCGGGAGTAAAGGGAGATGAGGAAGTGGTCCAAGATGGCCTTGTCTCTGATGGACAGTTCAGAAATGGCAAGGCCATGCATGATGACGAGGTCGAGGGAGTGGCCTCGGTTGTGGGTCAGCGAGTTGATGTGGAGGGTGAGGTTTAAGGAGAGGAATGCAGTGAAATCTGAGGAAGTGGTGCAAGGGGAGTTTATGTGGAGGTTGAAATCGCCCATTTTAAGCAGGGGTTCAGTGCAGAGGGACAGGGATGAGGAGTGCGGAGATATCGGTGAGGAAGGAGCCAGAAGGTTTGGGGCGGGGTGGTAAACTGGGAGAATTGTGAGGGAGAGAGGAGAGGGATGGTAGAGGGTGAGGTGTTCAATGGAGGAGAAACAGCCAGAAGAATAGGGGGTTAGACCAAGGGAAGCTTGGGAGATGAGAGCCACCCCGCCACTTTGTTGGTTAGGGCAGGGGGTGTGGTGAAAAGTGTAACCAGGAGGGGAGGCTTCAATGAGGGGGATGGGGTCACTGGGGAAGAGACAGGTTCCCCTAAACCCAATAATATCAATGTGCTCATCCAGGATGAGGTCATAGATAGTAAGGGCTTTATTGGAGAGGGATCAGACATTTTGGAGGGAAATAATAATAATCCCTGCGCCTTGTCACGTCTTCGAGAGCCTGAAAGTGCTTCACAGAATATACTGTAAAGTGAATTGACTGTATATTTTGTGGGCGAAAAGCGGCAACCAATTGTGCACAGCAGTGTTCCACAAACAGTCATGGATTGTTTTACAAGAAATGCATCTTTCTTGTAAAAATCAACACCTCAAAACACTTCACAAAATAAAATTGATTAGAAATGAAAGTGAATGTTATATAAGCAAACACGATAGCTAATCTGCACTAGTAACACCCAATAAATTCAAAACAGGTGATAAATGTGGATTAGAAAGGGAATACAAATCAGAATAACTGGGAGAAACTCTCCAAATAAATCTATATTACCTTTGCCTGCGCCCAGAATAATTCTCGGTTGATTCGTTTCATTTCAATTGCAGCATTCGTCTTCTGATATGTTGTCCCCTAAAATTGGAGGNAAAAACCTTGTGGATTCAGTCAGCATATTACCCATTCTCTCCCCACCCCCACCCTGCAAGACAAGCCAGGAGTTGAGCTGATCATGATGCTCCAGTGCAGTGAAAGGGAAATGCTGCAGCTAGGTGTTAAAAATATCATGGCCATATTGTGAAGAGAAAATATAAAAGGGTATGAGGAAAAAGCAGGAGAACGGAATTAAATGGATTCATTAATAATAATCATTGCATTTGATATCACATTGTTGAGATGTCTCAAAGCGCTTCACAGGATATACTGTAAAGTGAATTGACTGTATATTTTGTGGGCAAAAAAAGGAGCCATAACAGCATGAGGGGTAGAATGACCTCTGCTGTGAATCTTTGATTCTAGAAGCAGGGAATTTCCTGAATGTTCTGGTCAATATTCTTCCTTCCTAATCTGATATTCTCAGTGCTTTTTTAATAATAAGAAGAATTCTTGCATTTGATATTGTGCCTTATCATGTTTTCGAGACAACATTGAGACATCTCAAAGCGCTTCACAGAATATAGTGTGATGTGAACTGAATGTATATTTTGTGAGTGAAATGCGTCAGACAATTGCGCATAGCAGTGTCCCAGATTATTAGGAGCAACAAAGTGAGGGAGCTGCCCCTCATTTCTACCTCCCAGCACAACCACTGCCTCCACTCACTGCACATCACTCTCAAAGCATCACTGATGCACTACTCACCACTGGAGCCAACTCCTCCTCCTCCTTCAGATGCAGCCGACGCAATACTGGGCTTGAAACGTTTATTGTGCCATTGGTCAGTTTCTGACGGATAGCAGTGGAGTCCACATCCTCTGGGCTGCTGGCATTAACAATGACGTTAGCCCCCTGTTTGAAATGGGAGGAGAAAGAAAGCACATCACTGGAGGTGAATATCATTCACAGACTTGGGCACACTCACTCACTCAAGTAATAGCAGGGCAGGAACTTGGTAGTCGTTTAGCTCTCTGGGACAGACTGCTCCCACATAACATACAGCAGTATAAAGAACTTGCCTGGAAGAAGTCTGCGATTGTGGCTACGTGACTGGCACAGGTACACTTCCGATGATCATCCACATCTTCACCCACCTACAAAAAGACGAGAATGAATTCCTACACCTACAGAGGCCTCCCCACCTAGGGCCCAAACACATGGAGATTACAGGAATTAAACCCTCTCTCACATTGCATGCACTTTCCAAACTCCCACTGGAGGAATCTGCTTCCATTCATGGAACTGCAGCATGGATTCATCTCGGGACTGAACACAGAGGAATGTAAAATGCCTCACCCATAAATGCTGATCAAGCCGACTTCAAAACAGTATTTGAAAGGGAATTGGTTAAATACTGGAGGAAAAATCATATTGATTTTGTTACGGGAAAGAGCAGAGTAATGGGATTAGACTAGAAAAATGCAGTTGGCCCCACTATGGTTGTGTTGGGAATCACTCCTCAAGTCTAGTGAGAAACCGAGGGGAAGCAGTATTCCAAAATCAGAAGAAGGAAAATAGAAAGAATAATCATTTAATTGCTTTATAGAGAGAATGATGATTATGTGTAATGGAGGAAGATTGTGTCAGCAAATTCAAAAAGGAACCAGAGAGTTATTTGGCAATAAAAAACCATTGAAGGTTTTTGAAAGATAAGAGTTGCAGATTGTTTTTTTTAAAACTTTGGGAGCTGCCAGATGGGCAGAAACTGGGAAACCCATTATAATCCAACAATAATATGCACTAAACCTCCTTTCAAGCAGCCGGAACAATTTGCAGCACTTCACAATGATGAAGAGTAATCGTTGAACAGTGAGGGAGGGGGGAGTTGACCAAAGGCAGAGTCAAAGAAACAGACTTTGAAGGCAAAGAGAAAAGCCACAAGGTAGAAGGGGTTTGGGAGAGGGTTCCAAGAATAGTGTGTGAAGTTCATGCAGCATGCCATCACACACCACCTCCTGTGTACTCACCCAGTTTATCAGAACGTATTTAGGCAGGCCGGAACCAGAGTCTTTGATGCTGCAGAAACCGTACATCACACTTTGGTTGTCGAATTTTATGGCAATCTCCTGCAGGCCACCAGCTGGATAATGGGAAGGAAAAATTCAGGGACATCATAAGCATGGCACTGTTTACGTTTAGCCATAGAACTCTCAGTGATTTACAAATGCTCTTTGTCCGGACACACATCCTCACTCGGAACAGCCACATTGTATCAGGTTGACTGCGAGAATGGTCAGAGAATAAGTAAAAATATGTATGCGTTCTGGGAGATTGACCCTTCGCTTGCTTCACCCACTACTGTTGTCGAATTCAAGATCCTCATCCTCACCTACAAGGCCATTCACGGCCTATCTCCCTCCTACCTCTCCGACCTACTATCCCCCTACTTACCTGCCCGTACCCTCCGTTCCTCATATTCCCTGCCCCAACCGCCCTACCATCGGTGGCCGGGCCTTCAGCCTCTCAGCCCCGAGGCTCTGGAACTCCATCCCCCAGTGCCTTCGCCGCCTCCTCCCTTTCCTCCTTCAAGGCCGGACTCAAGACCTTTTTCTTCGACCGTGCCTTCACCTCCCCTCTCGACTCTCTACCCCCTCCTCGCTCCCTCCCTTCCCTACCCTCACCCTGACCATTTCCCCGCTGCTCGGGTCCTGATCCAACTGTCCAGCGTCTTGGGACGTCCTCCCGATGTGAAAAGCGCTCTATAAATGAAATCTTGTTGTTGAGGGAATATTACCGCTCCTCCTCCTCTCTTTCCCCCTTCTTCTCTCTCCCCCCTCTCTCCTGCTCTTTCTCGCTCCTCCTTTTCCCTCTACCTTCCCCCTCCTTCCTCTCTCTCCTCCCTCCTCTCTCTCCCCCCTCTTCCTCTTTTTCTCTCTACCTTCCCCCTCCTTCCTCTATCTCCTCCCTCCTCTCTCTCCTTCCCTCCTCTCTCTCCTTCTCTCCTCTCTCTCCTTCCCTCCTCTCTCTCCTTCCCTCCTCTCTCTCCTTCCCTCCTCTCTCTTCCCCCTCTTCTCTCTACCTTCCCCCTCCTTCCTCTCTCTCCTCCCTCCTCTCTCTCCTTCCCTCCTCTCTCTCCTTCCCTCTTCCCCCCGCCTCAATCCCCCTCTCACCCAATCTCTTTCCCAAGTGCGGATCACTATCTGCAGTGGCCGTATTTGATGGTTGGTTGCTAAGGACAGGGTTGGTAAGAGACTCGCTTGCCTTCCTGACAGACTGCAATAATGGCCGGTATTATTCACTCGCCGCGCTGTGGCCCAACCTCTGACTCCACTCTCCTCCCAAGCATCAGCTCCTGCCCTGCCAGGGAGGGAGTGGAAGTTCAAATGTTTGAAATGGTCTCAGGTTGGACCTTTTTCAAATAGGGCATCTGGCCCACGGTAGCCAAAAAGTTGGATCACCTTCTGTTCCTTAACTCTAACCAAATAGATTCTGTTTTTGAACCCTCTAGCACATTGTCCCTTTTCAGGGCTGTAACCGTGTCTTTGATCAATAATGCCACAACACCCACTCCTTTTTTTTCTTCTCTATTCCTCATGAATACATTGTAGCCTGGAATATTCAGCTCCCATTCCTGCCCTTGTTTGAGCCAGGTCTCTGTTACTGCCACAACATCATAACCCTATACAGCAACTTAAGCCTACAGCTCACAATCTTATTTTTCACTCCATGCATTTACGCACATGCACTCCAAGACCGACTTAATATGCTCTGCATTTTCCCCCAATCTGATGACTCCTCTTTCTGGACTGATCCTTATTGGATTGTTGTTCATCCCTTCCAGCCCTCTAAGTACCTTGTTTCTCCTCTCTGATGCTACATCCTGTTTCCCTTCCCCCCTCAAAATTAGTTTAAACCCTTCCCCCACAGCACGAGCTAACCTCACTGCAAGGAGATTGGTCCCAGCCCTGTTCAGGTGTAACCCATCCACCTTGTACAGGTCCCATCTGTGCCAGAACTGGTCCCAACGTTCCAAGAATCTAAGCCTTCCTTTCTGCACCATTTCTCTAGCCATGCATTCATGTGTTTTATCCTGCTGTTCCTATACTCGCTTACACATGGCACTGGGAATAATAAGAGATTACCACCTTTGAGGTCTTGTTCTTTAGTTTTCTCCCTAGCTTTTGAAACTCTCCCTGTAGGATTTCAGCCTTATTTTTCCCTACCTCGTGAATTCCAACATGGCCACAGCTTCTGGCTGTTCCCCATACCCCCATAGAATGTTTTGCACCCGTTCCGTGAAGTCTTCAACCCTCCCACCAAGGAGGCAACACATCATGCGAGACACGTCTTCAGTTGCAGAAACACCTGTCTATCTCCCTGACTGTTAAGCCCCCAATGACAACTACTTTGGCACTCTTCCCTGTGTCGCCTTGAGCATTCGCACTCTTACCTGCGGTCAGTGATTTGCTTTTGACTGCCCTGCCCAGAGGTGTCAACACCCTCACCGGTATTTAGCACAGGAAAAAGGTTTGTTAGTGCCACACTCTTGAGGATATCTGCCCTGCCTGTCTCCTCTTCCTACCATTCTGAGTGGTCACCCACTCACTCTCCTTCTGAACTCTCTGTGGCTGTGGAGTGACCACCTCCTAAAATGTTTGATCCATGAACTCTTCAGCCTCATATAGGCTATAGTGACACCAGCCTCTCCTCGAGCTCAGAAACTCTGGCACAGGAATGCGCATGCAACCGGTCTCAACAGTCCTGTCATATTCCCACATTTTTCATCTTATTGTTTATTTACTTTTATACCTCCTTCACTCTCTACACCGAATTCCCAATCTCACTAAAGTTCTTAACAGAAGTCTCACTCTGCTCCTCCTCATTCAGTTCCCTCCTCACTCTGCTGGGCTCTCTGCTCAGATCTGTCACAGTCAGACAGATTTCTGCACTGTAAGGTTGCTGGTTTACTCTGGTGCTTAACTATAATTGATGCTTCAGAATGACTGGTGAATCTGTATTTAACCCAGTTGAAACCCTTGTGTTGGTTAATCACATACCTCCAGAATCTGCCAGTTTAAGATTATCTGTATCCTCTTCGTAAGTGTACAGGGCCCTGTGAAAAAAAAGGAATTCAGGACTTGTCAATCAACTCAGATCCAAGGCAACAACAATATCAGTCTCATCACCAAGATCAATTCCCCCCCAATCATTGTAATGCTTGACATTAATGAATTTACAAACCATTTTGTTGCAGAAAAATAATCTTGGTCTGTACAGATCCCTATAAACTGTTCAGCCTGNTTTTTTTCCACAGGACACACATTGACAATCAACACAGCATCCACCAATTTTTGGGGGTCTATTTTATGGTATTTATTACATTCTTAAGGAAATATGAAATTTCTGTACTTCTGAAACATGGATATCATTGAATACATTTAATGTTTTAGAAATTGAATGATGCTTTATTTTTAAGATCATTCAGGGTTTCAGAAATTCACCCTAATTACAACTTTCTTATTCAGAAATCTGTTAAGAAATAGCATAATTAGATCTCAGTGTCCTCAAGTATAGTACTTTGGTTTTGCATTCCCAATCCCGGAAAAATGACCAGCTTGTTTGTGCATTGTTCATCCCTCTCAACTTTTCATCAGGTTTACTCTCAATCTTTTAGGGACCCAAATATCTTTGGAACTCCTGAAGAGTGAAGATAAAGTGTAGAAACCCCTCCACTCAAAGACTATGGCTCTAAACACAGAATTTTCCTGGTTGCTCTTCTAAATAATATTCCTTGTATTTGATATTGACTGCAATGTCCCAGAAACACCCATGAAGTAAACAATCAATGTTATCTGGAGGATTGTAGGTCGGAACACCAGGAGAGACTTCATTCTCTATTTAAATAATGCCATAGGTTCTCTGACATCCATAAGAACAAGCAGACAAGACCTTGGTTTTAACATCTCATCTGCAGGGTTGCACCTATAACAATGCAGTGTTCCACCACCATTGTACTGGAGTGTTATCCTAGACTATGAGCCACCTCGATTCCAACTCCTAACTCGGGTACAAACTGCAGTGTCCAGCGCTTTGAGACGTCCTTCAGATGTGAAAGGCGCTATATAAATGCAATTTGTTGTTGTTGAGCTAGAAGTAACGACATACAAATAATAAATAGATTATGGAAATAATTGTTGCCATTCCTCCTCTCCTCGGGGCATGGACCATTCCAAAGATATAGGTGCTCTCTGGTATCTTGCCCAAGATCCCATTCTTCATGTGTGAGCCTGGTCCAGCGCCTTGGGAAGTCCTCCTGACGTGAAAGGCACTATACAAATATAATTTGTTGTCGTTGTTGGTTGGCAGAAACTTAAAACATTTGCTAGAGTAAGTCCAGCTGGAAAGACTATCAGTATCACATGGGCAGAATACGGATGAAACTCAGTAAGCTGCCCACCAGAGTCTGTTAACTCAGAGCCTTGTATGCTATGTAAAACTGGATTTGAAATAATTTCTCCAGTACTTTATTGTTGGGAGGAATGCAATTTGGGTCTGAGGTACTTTGGAACAAATGTAATTTTGTTATTTAGTTTGCTGATCCTGAATCCAATAATCATCCTAAGAAAAAAAAGTGCCCCCACACAAAGCGAAAAACACACACACATGCACAATCAAATTGTCAGATTTATTTCAAGCATAAAGTATCCTGCGTCACAGGCACTACAATCCAGACTGAAAAAATTGATTTCTTGACTTAATCCTTCAACAGCAAGGTATGACGGTGACCTCATTGGCGCCAGTTGCACAGAATGAATTATCTGCAAATAACAACAACACCTTCCTCTTTGACCGTGCCTTTGGCCACCCTCCACCCCTCAAGGCCAACCCCCCAGCTCGGGTGCAAGTTCTTGATTGCCCAGCAGCTTGGGACATCCTTCCTATGTGCAAGATGATATATAAATGTAATTTGTTTTTGTTGTTATCTGCAGACATCCTGCATGAAGAGTCAGTAGTTGACCGCAGAAGCTCCACTGAAACATAGAAGATCAGACTTTGGTTCACCGTGCATGTCATCACCACTTGGAGAGAATGTTCATCCAAGATAAAGAGCAGCAATAAACCAATGGTGTGCGCCCAGATTCCCAAGCTCTGTGCAGCAGGCTCTCAAGCCATCATATAATCTACATTCAGATTTGAAACCCACAATCCACGGCAACACTGAGCCAATTGCTTGTTGCAATACAGAGACATCTCATTAACCTTTGAACTGAAGATCTTTTTAGCTCGTAACCCTGTGAAACAATTAGCTTGAAGTGGATTGAATTTAAAGGACTCTTGATGGCTTAGTTGATAAAAATTCTACTGTGCAATGTGAAAGTGAGCAACACAGACCTAGATGGTTTTGGGGAGGAGGGGATGTTCAGGTGGCTTAGATATTCCGTGCAAGACATTGGCTAAATGGTTTGCTCACCGCCATGTTGTCTTTTGGGGGTGTGTAGTTATTTGAATTTCTCAGGAATTTTTTTAGTGAAAACACAGTGAGGCATAGTGACAGTGTATAAATGCGTAGGCCATTTGCACACAGCTCATGAAGTGAATGACCATTTTGTTTTAAATTGTAGGATTGTTGGCCAGGACACCGGGAGAAATTATCTTCTCTTTTCAATTAATGTCACAGGATCTTTAACATACACCTGAAAAGATAGACAGGAGCTTGAGATAACATTGCATTTGAAAGATGATACCTCGGAAAATGCAGTGCATTCCATTAGAATGCAAGCCTAGAGCCTAGACCAAGCTCAAAGTAATGACACGGGGCTTCAACCAACAAGACCCAATGATGAGAGTGCTATCAACTGAGCCAGGCTGACACCTAGACGCATTGACTTGCTTTGAACGGTTATGTTATCTTCCCAGAGATGTATACTCAATCCACGACTGTTTGTGGGACACTGCTGTGTGCAATTGGCTGCCGCGCTTCACGCTCAAAATACCGTAAAAAATCTTTATTGTCAGATTTGGAAGGAAGAATATTGGCCAGAACATTCGGGAAATTCCTTGCTCCTGGAATTATAGAGATTCACAGCAGAGGTCATTCTACCCCTCATGCCGGTATGGCTCCCTGTTTCTCCCACAAAACATAGTCAATTCACTTTACAGTATATTCTGTGAAGCACTTTGAGACATCTCAAAGACATGATAAGGCGCAATATCAAATGCAAAGGATTATTATTATTAATGAAGAATTAAATCCCATTTAATTTTGTTCTCCTGCTTTTCCCTCATACTCTTTTATATTTCCTCTTCATAATTTGGCCATGAGATCTTTAACACCTAGCTGCAGCATTTCCCTGACATTGCACAGGAGCATCATGATGAGCTCAATTCCTGGCTTGAACCCACAACCCTCTGACCCAGAGGCAAGAGCACTACCAACTGAGCCAGACAGTACTGTGTTACGTTAATTTTCTCTCCAGAGAAACCTTTTGAAAGAAAGGTATAATGCAGGACACAGTTTAGAATGAAGTATTCTGAGCATGGAATATGTTATAATAATAAAATAATCCTTGCATTTGATATAGCGCTTTTCACGTCGGGAGGACATCCCAAAGTGCTTCACAGAACACACTGAAAAGTGAATTGACTGTATATTTGTGGGCGAACGCGGCAGCCAATTGCGCACAGCAATTTCCCACAAACAGTCGTGGATTGAAAATGACCAATTTATTATTGTTTTTGGTTTTGGAGGGATTATTATTAGGCTCTGTGTGGAGTAAGGAAACTTGCCCAAGGTTTCGCCCTCTGCCTGGAATTGAACTCAGGTCTCTCACTTGCAAAGTGAGTGCTCTAACCACTGAGCTACAGGACTCCACTGTTCATACTGTACAGGATAAAAATTATACACAACCTATCCAACCTGATGCAAGAAATATTTTTTAAAACTATATATCCATGAATTCTCATTTGCCAAGTTAGTAAAATATTTCAGATCAGCAGGAATTGATGTAATACCAGTTCTGCACAGGGGTTCCAATGGCTCGCAGCATGAACGACGTTTCCATGGCAACTTTCTGAGTGATTGGCATGACCCAGAACATAAATCACTTCATTGAATCTAACGCAATCGTTAAATTAAAAGGAGGGGGAGGGGAGAGTGGAGAGAGGCAGAATGTGTCAAATCGACAGAAGATATGGTTGTTGCCAAAATCAGACCCAAATCCGAAAATGAAATAAGATATTTCTCAATGGTTGTGTCTATTTTCACCTCATTAACCTCTCAATGATTAGGGAATATGGTAGAGAGCTCTGGGCATAAACTGGTCTCAGAATAAACTGAAAGCAGAATATGGTTCGGATTTGGTGGTCTTTCTCAAGATTCTCCTCAATGCTCAGAGACCACCACCAGCCTCAAAGACCCCATCCCATCTTAATTCAGCTACTGCTCTCCAGCTGTCTAATGAGAAACAGAGTCATACAGACTTGGAGGTACAATCTGTGGTCTGTGCCGAGAGTTATCTGACCTCAGCAACGGCAGGAGGGAGATTCAATTTGCCTCCAGAGGTGTTAGCCTAGGAGGGAATAAAAGGATCAATCAGAAGCGAAAGGGGAAAAAACATTCTCTAGTCTCACACTTGAAAAATAGCTATTTGTGCAAAAGACTCTCGACACTTGGGAAATTGTACTCCAGGAATAATAGCACCTTTGGGGGCAGCGGTGTAGGATGATTTGCTAGAGCAAGGGATCTACACCTGAGCAAAATATACAAAATAGATGTTGAGAGTTTAGCCACACTGAAAGCACGCAACTGGACAGTCTTTTAAATAGGCTGCAATGATTAAAGAGTTTGGTTTTAATTATAAGTAATTTGCCACCGTGGACCTTACAAAGAGAACAGCATCAATTATAACAAAATCCACTTTGTCTCCTTTAGTAATCCTCGGATTTACTATCTTTGCTTCATTTCCTTCAATTGCTGAATTTTGTTTCTCAACACAAAAAGCTTTTTCTAAACTTTGACTTCTCCCTTTATCCAAGAGGTGAAAGAATAAACAATAGGGTGCAGAGGGGGGCTCCAGTGTTATGCAGTGTTATTCCAAAACATCCTACCTCCAA